GAGTATGTGTGTGGGTGAATGTCCGTACATACATGCTTGTACATACATACATGTTACTTGTTCGGTATATTTCACCTGATATCTACGAGATGTATATACGAACATACGCGAGTATATAACTAACAACATACGCAACCGCGTCAGTGTGCGTACACGTTGAACAGTGCAAGAGGCGTAATTATGTGTCTGCGTATCTCATAACCACACGCCTATCTGTCCCAGGCGGGATATTATTCCACGTATAAAGGCTTCGTGTGTTCGGAATTTCCCGAACTAAATGAGTTCGATATATGCATCGAAAGTTCACCGTCAAACGTTCGTGAGGTGAATTGCAAACAACCGACGAAAGCTCAATACTACTCTATGTATTTGTTAGGGTTGCGACATGGATATGTGCAGTTTCGCTGAACTCGATCGATTCCATAGATTTGGAAATATACATATAACGCCACTGCAAACTCTCGCGAATAAACATATGGATTACTTTCGTGTACCAGTAGCATCGAATTGCATATTCAGCAGCATTGAAATTCGATATTTTGCATACGCATATTAGTACGCATATATCTATGTATCAGTTTTAATCCCTAGCAGTTATCTAATAATATGTAATATGTCATTTAAAAAAATTTTATTGGCAGTTTTCTTTTCCCTGTAGCTTTTTTGATAAAATTCTCTCAAATAATCCTGAATTATTGACGAATTATTGACTTACTCATCGTTTGAGCGAAATGAGTATGTTGACTTTTTGCGAGAATTAATTTTGTCTACGTTTCACGAATGTGTAATATTACAGATGTAGTATTTGGTTTTTGAGGCAAATTATTGCTTACATTACTGCCATTTGTATCTCGCAAATTATAAAATTATTTCAGCACTTTCTAATAAAAAATATCGCGTAAATTAAATTTCTCTCAATGAGAAATACGAATAATTTCATTCTACAAATTTTAATTTATTACAATAATTTAAGATATTTTCAACAGACTGCGACAAAGATCTTTAAAGATATCGGTAAATTTGATATTAGATGATTGAAGCAATGTACGTTGTTTTATAACAGTACTATATTAAGCAGAGATCATAATGTGCTGTTAAAGCAAGTTGTAAAGCAAGTTGTATGCAACTGCGGTACTGCATCTCTGATTAAAATCCTGGGGAAATATATGACGTGTGTAAAGCAAAGTTATGATGCAAAACGATACACAATAAATTTCGAAGAAGAGTCGAAGAGATAGAAAGACGATAATAATAATTAAAAATAATAAAATTAATCGAAAATAGATCCGTGTGAAATATACTATCTATGTTGAGTCAAGCGCATAGTATACTTTTATTTATACAAAATTTATAATCTTTTATAATTTTACATTTACGATTGTATCGTAACAATACAGAGAAAGCTATTAAATTTAAATTTATTATTTATTTAATATTTACATGAATACTTTTACATCATAATATTAATTAATAATCATTAATTTCCTTTTTCAAAGAAACATTAGATTTAATCAGCATCGATGGCTCATTCAAGTTAATTGAACATAGAATATTTGAAATAAAACTGTTGTATAAAATGTTAAACTTTTTTTATAACGTTAGGTTGCCATAAAGCTTTGGCCGTTGGTTTTGGTATTTATTTTTGCGATATATACTGTTGCAAACACAAGGTTGTTGTGTTACCTCTTGTCCACCAACTCTTGTCCAATACTCGAACGATCGAGTAACAGTGCATAGCTGTTCCGCATTTAACTCTCAGAATACCACTGTGACAAGTATCAAAAAATACCGAATGCATTTATTATAATTATTACAATAATCGATACATTACGTGTTTAACAATTCATAAGCGTGTCGAATGATTTTAAAATATATGAGATATTTTAGACGCGCGGATAAAGGATATACGTTTACGATCGTATCTATAATATTCTGTAACAGTACAAGTATTTAAAGTCAAACATATTTTGCATGGTACTCTGAATTAAAATGTAATTAATTTTTAATATTATAATAATTGAGATAATGAATGCCTTTTCGTACATTATTTCAATTTTTATTGAAATGATGATAATCCTTCCCATGCATACAATCTTGAAGAGGAGATAAAGAAACTCAGTATCTTATAAAAGGGATTACAATCATAAAGATGGAGTAGCCAAAAGTACTCATTGCAATGCTACTTATTGCACTATTTTGCGTCTTGTCGTGTAAGGGAGCAGCATTAACAATTGGAAGATTTTTTTTTAAAAAATAAAAGATTTTTTAAGAATTAATTTGCAAGTGATAATAATTACTTTTTTAAATGCGATTATGATTATCTACGTTTTCAAGAATGTATAGTGTCGAGAGAGTACAGAGTTGACAATAATCAACCTAATAATTATAATTTTATATACTAAAATACCGTTTTTCTCCTTTAATTGAATCGTTTATTTATATAATTCAGAAAACAGCAATCCAGAGTTTCGTGTCAAGTTCTGCGAAGCAGACAACCTGAATAAGGAGAAAGAGGAGGCTTATAGGGGAGGCATCGGGCGTTAGCGGAGCAACCCTGGAGTGAGTATAATTGATTTAAATACATATTTAATGTAAAATTTCATACTTATCTCTTATTAATTACATTCAAAAATTATAATTAAAAGAAATTTTTTATTTATGAAAGTTTATATTTAACGAAGAGCTTTTTTAGTTATACGTAATTATATTTTATTGTTTTTTTTTATTTTAATACTTATTTGAAGAATAAATTTAGTATTCCGCGCGTTTAATAATTATTCGAAATATGCATTATCTTTTGTACTAATCTGGAATTTTATATTTGTGTGTTATAGTATCGACGTAGTCAGTCATAACAGATTTCTCCGCTGTTGCGCATCGGTCGGTGAGTGAAAAATGAATTCTTTCATTGAGATAGCAGGATTTATGAAAATTATACATGTCAAATTATGATAAATTGTTACATATAATATTATAATATTACATATAACAGTTCATAAATTCTTCCTTAAAATAGATAGACTACAACAAATTAAAATAAATAATTAATTCTGGATGTATTAGATATTGATTGATTCAATTCGATTCTAGGCGAATCTAGCTTAATACTTTATGGCCTATATGTATATAGATTTAACAATAAATAATATGATATACTAATAGACTCTGTAATTTTACACACACTGATCTATACATGCATGTGCGATCGCACATAATATGGAGGAAAGATACCGTGTAAGATTAAACTTTAATTATTTGTGCAATAAGTCCCAATTAAGATTCTATTTCCTTTTGGATATAATCGTGACTAGCTAAAGATAGAGATATGTAGAAATATCATACGAATGGAATATGTGATAAGAATACAAAGATGGATACGGATAAATAGAGATTTTATAATAAGTAGATATAAATATAAATATTTATACAAAGAGATAGATAATAATGTGAGGGTATTATTATTATTATTATTATTATTATTATTA